TTCACTTAAGTGTAATACTGAATTTTCAGTTAATAAAACCGCCTGAAAATGAATTCATTATAGACTCGTAACACTGTAATATTTGAAACTCCTGGCCTTTTGCAGTTTTTTTTGCAAATATATTGCAGTCGAAAAACTTTTTTTTGTCTGAGCCATTGGCTTCCGATCCCTCTATCTTTATTTGATTCTGAGGATGGTCCAAAATTGTAAGCGTACTTGACTGTTTTCGATCTCGGTTAAGAATTAAATCCGTGTTCATGCATTTTGGCATATCCCCTTAGGTGTCATACAGAACCGCTATTCATTGTAGTATATTTGTTGGATAATACTCGTAATCTTATTTTTTAGTAAGATTAAATTAGATTTACTGCTCAGTATACAAAACGTTAGGTAAAATAACAAAGTTAAAGCGTTATAAAAGCTTTGACGAAAACTTCACATTTATAAATAATTTAAAGCAGGAAGAAATGGGTTTGTTTTATTTCTATGTTTTCAAACGTTTGGCCTATTACACCTTTGTTTATATCTACTTTTGATAATCTGGAATTTTTAAGTACGATAGGCATTGACTTAATTTCATTCCTACAATAAGTGCTTTTTGCATTAATGCCTTTTTGTTCTAAGGACTTATCAATTCTAAGCGATGTTCCTGCTTTGAAAACTATGCCTGCTGGAGAAATTGAAATTACGCGGGATGATTTTGGTGCAATAGTTAAATTTTTATCAAGAAGTACATTTTGATAAAAACTTAGATATGGATAACTTTTGCTTCTTATAATAATGATAGGAACTGTTATATCTGGGTATTTTTTTAATTCTAAGTGCAAATTTGGAAAGTTTATTGATTTAATGTTGTGAGAAATGAAATCCATTCCTAATATATTTAGATCGCAGCCATTCTTGGCTGAAATCCATGCTTTAATTTTTACCGGATTATCAGTGTTTGTCCCAAAAGTTGAGTCAAAATTAGTATAACCTATAAGTTTAAGTTTTTCTCCATTAACAGCAACTGTATTTGATCTACATTTATTCAGCTGTAGAGGCTGTATTTTACAATATTGTTCATAACTGTCAAAATTAATAAGCGAACATGTTGCTCCAGTGTCTAGTAGAAATTGGGTTTCCAGACCGTTATTTTTATTTTTGTCTCCGACGGGATGTTGGTATAAGTTAATATATAATTGTAATTTTGGTTCAGACGGAGACTGATCTAGTTTAAATTAACAAGTTCACACTCATTATCGGTATAGTCTCCTGGAATGTCATCATCACTAAAGTTGTGGATCTGGTAAGGTGAATGATAATCGTTATTTTCGTTGAAGTGTTTCTTACTGTTCAACCTGTCACGCCATTGAGAACTTTCATTGAAGTTTGACAAGTGCCTGAACTCTTGCTGAGAGTTTATGTCATTGAAATTGTTGTCTACTCTTGACCTACTCTTGCTATAGTTATGGTGACTTCTGTTTGAATTCTCTCTTAATTGAAGCGATTTATAATTTTGCTCCTGTTGATCGTTATATTTAAAGCAATGGCTTATCGTGTGGCCTGACATGCAACACCAGTTGCAAAACATTGGGTTGTTTTGTTTGTTTCTATGCTCATGTGGATTATAGGCTGCGTTTATTTTATGATCCTTCATTAGTCCTGTTAACTCTTTATGTTGATTCTTTATTCCCTCTATTTCCAATTTATTTTCTATGCTACTGGATGCTGTTCCGATAAATTCACTACTTATTGCAAAACTTAAGTCTTTTGTAGCAATATGATCTTTTAATTGTTGCCAAGTTGCGGGTGGATTCTCAATTAGGAATTGATGAGCCTTTTGTTTCAAGCCTGGCGGGCTTAAGCCGCGTACAAAGAATTCCATTTTCTTTGCTGTTCTTTGATCATCATTAAAAGTTAGATTAGGCCATCCACGGTCTACTGCGGTGCTTAATCTATGTATGTAGCTTTTAATGAATTCATCAGGTTGTCTTTTTATGTTTTCTGCTTCTATTCGTCTCCTATACTTATCTTTATCATCAGTGAATCTATCTATGAATTGATCTCTTATATCATTCCAAGGTAAGTTTGCTGCTAATCCCTGATACCATTGAGCGGCTGGACCTCTTAATATTGAACCAAATAAGGCTCTTTGTCTGTTATCATATGCGTCTTGTTCGTCACCTGCATCTCCTGGTCTAGTGCCTAGGGAAAATGCTATCTTTTCCTCTACTATATCAAGAAAATCTCTTGCATCTTCATTCGGATCTAAGCCGGTAAACTTTTCGAGAGCTAAATCTGGGTATGCTACTACGTTTACCATTTTTGTTTAATTCACTCAATGTTTTCTTAACAATATATAAAGGGTTTGGATGTGTTCTGTACTGATCAATTGTACGGACTAAAATATTTGTATTTAAGTTACAAGGAAGTTTGCTGGTTTCAATGAATACGAGTTTTTGTTAGATAGATCAATAGTGCTATGGGGCTGTTTAAGCTTTTTTAAGATAGAAGTTATCTCTGGGGTATTGCTGCTGGAAAGAATGGTTAATTCGTGAATATTTTTGTGTGGGTGTTTGGACAAAATTGTGATTTGATCTTTTTGGATATTGGTGATATACCAAATATTTTTTGTGGATTTATTTTTTAATTTTAGTTTTAAATTAAATGGTGTTGTATTTACTTAATAAAAGTTGGTCATAGCATTTTACATCCTTTTAGGGACATAAATAATTATCTAGGGAATGATAAACAATATAAAAAATATTTAAATTTTTCTTATGAACTTGCTATGATTTTTAATTTTTGTTTAGGAAAATTTTGTGTTTTTAATAAAAAATGATTAAAATGCAAGTAGTTTTATGCTTTGGTATATTATGATATCAAAAAGCAATCAGGAGTGAAGCAATTAATCGCTCTTCCGGTGTACAAATTATGTTATTTGGTATTTTTATTTGCTGAAGAGTTGTGTCAATTTCTGGAGTATGTCGACGAAAGAAGACGTATAATTCGTGTTTATCTTCGTTAGGGTGTTTTGCTAATATACTAATATGATTTTTTTCAGTGTTAGTGATATACCATATGATGTTAGAGACTTTATTTCCTAATTTGAGCTTTAAATTTATTGTACTGAAGTCAATTTTAAAAAGTGTTGACATTAATTTCACGATGTTTGTTTTCTTTTTCTTAAGCCAAATTGTACTATTTGATTAGTTTGTTTTAGAGTAATGAAAACCTCCTAGGAATTTTTGAATATTAACAAAGGTTATTAATAATAAGATAAGGAAATAAAAATTTTCTTTGGAAAAAAAAAAATTTTCAAAAATTTTTTCTAAGTTTTTCAAGTTTTTTATTTGCTGATTCCTTAACTGAAACCTAAAACTTTGTTCAAGTGAAGTTTTGTTGATGCTATGGTATGGTTAAGAATATAACTATATGCCTTTATTGGTTATTATTGGTTCAAAACTTAATTTTTTTGTTAAAAATTTATAGAAAATTTTTTGACTGAAACGATAATCTGAAACCTGAAACTATGGTAGCTGAAGTTGAGTTTTTTTTTTTTAATCTTAAAATTTTTTATACGCTTTATTATATCTGGATTTCGCTTTATCTTGCAAAACAATTCGAGAAAACCGAATCTTTTGATATCTTAAACTTAGTTTTTGAAAACTCAAACCTGAAACTCTTAAACTCTCTCAAACTCGGTGCATGAAAATAAAAAGTTGGTTTTTGATAGCTGGTCTAGTGTAAATTGGAATTTTGAACAGGTTTGTAACTTCAAAATCAAAAATTTGTTTGCGGAAACCTAAGTTTTTGCGGCTGAAACTATGATTTCTAGAACTGAAACTATGGTTTGACCACTTGGTTTTAGAGTTTTGAGATTGAAAATTTAGGTTGGTCTCTCTAATATATTTCTATTCCAGAAATAAAATTGCCAAAAAGATGAAAATTTTAGCTTAAAACGACGATTTTAGTTTTCTGAAACTATAAGTTTGAGGGCTCAAACTAACACCTTCTAGAAGTTTTTTGAGTTTAAAAATTTGTTAGTGCATTAAAGATTCTTTTTATCTTTCAATATTTCACAAAAAGTTTTCTCGGGAAGCAAAATTTTTGGTTCTGAAACCAAAAACACCAATTCTGAAACGTACGTTTCAGCCTTAGGAACCAAAATTTAAAATTGGTTTGGTGGGTTTTAACACCGTTAGTTTTCTTTAGAAAGTCAAAATTCGGCGTTCGGAGCTCAATTTTGAGACCAAAAACTCAATTTTTGTGTTCTGAAACCTGAAACTAACAAAAACGTACCATTTAAGACCAGGTTTTTGACTTATGGCATCCAAATTTGGGTTTGACTAGTTCAACTTTTGCTGTTTTACCCGAATCCGTTTACAGAAACTTAAAATTTTGATCGGAAACTGTACTTATTTTAACTGAAACGTTTGACCCTATAACTGAAACCAAGACTGAAACCAAAAATTTTTGCTGGTAAAAATAAATTTTTTAGTGCTTATGCTATCATATGTAACCTGTTCTATCAATATAAAGTGGAAGTGTCAGTGTTTTAAACTTAGTTTTTTTGTGAAACCTGATATTTTTGTGCTGAAACTAAAAGTTGGTGTTTGGTGTTATGTGGTTAACGTTTAAGATTGGTTTTAGTGTGTAATCTTTTTATTTATTAGGTGTATATTTAAACTGTGTCAAAAAAAACTAATGATTTATCAAAAAACACTCAAACCCGTTCCTTCCTTTTTGGTTTTTGTTATTTTCTTCCTTAGTTTCAGTAATTGGTAGCTTTACTGATGGATGATTTAGGTTTAAGTTACGTTAAGGTGGATAGAATTAAAATGAGTTTAAGAAAAGTTGAGGATAAGCCTCGAGAATTGATGAAGGATTAGAATAAATAGCAACAAGCGTGGTTGGTTTGAGATAATGTGATGAAGAATTCAATTTATCATACAATTTAGAGTACTCTTAGATCGCACATATGACCACTTAACCCCCTCGAAAAAATAATTGAAGATATTTAATAAGTTTTTTGAGCACTTTAGTTTAATACAGAATTTCGTTAATTTTAGTGATGATAACTTCAAACTGAAGTTTCGGCAAAAGTTTAGTGGATTACTGGACAAAACGGGTACATCTTACTAGCAGACTTAGGCAGAGAACGATTCTTTCAGAAATTTTATATATTATTATAATAATAGATAATAGTTAAGTTCATGAGCTAATGTCAGTTAGAAAGCCGTCTAATAGACCTCGAGATGGAGGGATATCGTGGGCGACTGCTAGCGCAGGGGATGCTTTCGCAAGAACCCTACTAGGAATATCTGTCAAGAAGAAGACAACGAAATTGTGTTTCTATCGAAAGATACCCATTGTCTCTGGCTTTTTGAGGTTGGAAACTAATCTGACAAATACTCTTAGATCCTAATATTGATATATTTTTTTGAATTTTAAAAGCTGTTTCGAGTTTGTTGGAAAAAGAATTTCTTAAGGAGTAGTTCTCTGCTGCGGTCGCACCAGTTTTACTAAGCGCTCATTGCTGGTTGAATGCTTAGTACTTTTATCCTAATTTATAAGTCTCACCTTAGATCGTCAAATTGTCTTGACAAAAAGTAGAGTAGAAACAATAGTTAGAAAAGGTATGAATTAATTAGTTGGTTAGATACAAAGCACTGGGTTATTAGATTATATAAACGAATCGAACAGCTTAAAGAAATATACCTGAAAGAATATTTTTCTTATAGCTGAAAGAATATTTTGTTCATAACTGTCAAAATTAATAAGCGAACATGTTGCTCCAGTGTCTAGTAGAAATTGGGTTTCCAGACCGTTATTTTTATTTTTGTCTCCGACGGGATGTTGGTATAAGTTAATATATAATTGTAATTTTGGTTCAGACGGAGACTGATCTAGTTTAAATTAACAAGTTCACACTCATTATCGGTATAGTCTCCTGGAATGTCATCATCACTAAAGTTGTGGATCTGGTAAGGTGAATGATAATCGTTATTTTCGTTGAAGTGTTTCTTACTGTTCGACCTGTCACGCCATTGAGAACTTTCATTGAAGTTTGACAAGTGCCTGAACTCTTGCTGAGAGTTTATGTCATTGAAATTGTTGTCTGCTCTTGACCTACTCTTGCTATAGTTATGGTGACTTCTGTTTGAATTCTCTCTTAATTGAAGCGATTTATAATTTTGCTCCTGTTGATTGTTATATTTAAAGCAATGGCTTATCGTGTGGCCTGACATGCAACACCAGTTGCAAAACATTGGGTTGTTTTGTTTGTTTCTATGCTCATGTGGATTATAGGCTGCGTTTATTTTATGATCCTTCATTAGTCCTGTTAACTCTTTATGTTGATTCTTTATTCCCTCTATTTCCAATTTATTTTCTATGCTACTGGATGCTGTTCCGATAAATTCACTACTTATTGCAAAACTTAAGTCTTTTGTAGCAATATGATCTTTTAATTGTTGCCAAGTTGCGGGTGGATTCTCAATTAGGAATTGATGAGCCTTTTGTTTCAAGCCTGGCGGGCTTAAGCCGCGTACAAAGAATTCCATTTTCTTTGCTGTTCTTTGATCATCATTAAAAGTTAGATTAGGCCATCCACGGTCTACTGCGGTGCTTAATCTATGTATGTAGCTTTTAATGAATTCATCAGGTTGTCTTTTTATGTTTTCTGCTTCTATTCGTCTCCTATACTTATCTTTATCATCAGTGAATCTATCTATGAATTGATCTCTTATATCATTCCAAGGTAAGTTTGCTGCTAATCCCTGATACCATTGAGCGGCTGGACCTCTTAATATTGAACCAAATAAGGCTCTTTGTCTGTTATCATATGCGTCTTGTTCGTCACCTGCATCTCCTGGTCTAGTGCCTAGGGAAAATGCTATCTTTTTCTCTACTATATCAAGAAAATCTCTTGCATCTTCATTCGGATCTAAGCCGGTAAACTTTTCGAGAGCTAAATCTGGGTATGCTACTACGTTTACCATTTTTGTTTAATTCACTCAATGTTTTCTTAACAATATATAAAGGGTTTGGATGTGTTCTGTACTGATCAATTGTACGGACTAAAATATTTGTATTTAAGTTACAAGGAAGTTTGCTGGTTTCAATGAATACGAGTTTTTGTTAGATAGATCAATAGTGCTATGGGGCTGTTTAAGCTTTTTTAAGATAGAAGTTATCTCTGGGGTATTGCTGCTGGAAAGAATGGTTAATTCGTGAATATTTTTGTGTGGGTGTTCGGACAAAATTGTGATTTGATCTTTTTGGATATTGGTGATATACCAAATATTTTTTGTGGATTTATTTTTTAATTTTAGTTTTAAATTAAATGGTGTTGTATTTACTTAATAAAAGTTGGTCATAGCATTTTACATCCTTTTAGGGACATAAATAATTATCTAGGGAATGATAAACAATATAAAAAATATTTAAATTTTTCTTATGAACTTGTTATGATTTTTAATTTTTGTTTAGGAAAATTTTGTGTTTTTAATAAAAAATGATTAAAATGCAAGTAGTTTTGTGCTTTGGTATATTATGATATCAAAAAGCAATCGGGAGTGAAGCAATTAATCGCTCTTCCGGTATACAAATTATGTTATTTGGTATTTTTATTTGCTGAAGAGTTGTGTCAATTTCTGGAGTATGTCGACGAAAGAAGACGTATAATTCGTGTTTATCTTCGTTAGGGTGTTTTGCTAATATACTAAATGATTTTTTTCAGTGTTAGTGATATACCATATGATGTTAGAGACTTTATTTCCTAATTTGAGCTTTAAATTTATTGTACTGACGTCAATTTTAAAAAGTGTTGACATTAATTTCACGATGTTTGTTTTCATTTCTTAAGCCAAGTTGTACTATTTGATTAGTTTGTTTTAGAGTAATGAAAACCTCCTAGGAATTTTTGAATATTAACAAAGGTTATTAATAATAAGATAAGGAAATAAAAATTTTCTTTGGAAAAAAAAAATTTTTCTAAAATTTTTTCTAAGTTTTTCAAGTTTTTTATTTGCTGATTCCTTAACTGAAACCTAAAACTTTGTTCAAGTGAAGTTTTGTTGATGCTATGGTATGGTTAACAATATAACTATATGCCTTTATTGGTTATTATTGGTTCAAAACTTAATTTTTTTGTTAAAAATTTATAGAAAATTTTTTGACTGAAACGATAATCTGAAACCTGAAACTATGGTAGCTGAAGTTGAGTTTTTTTTTTTAATCTTAAAATTTTCTATACGCTTTATTATATCTGGATTTCGCTTTATCTTGCAAAAAAATTCGAGAAAACCGAATCTTTTGATATCTTAAACTTAGTTTTTGAAAACTCAAACCTGAAACTCTTAAACTCTCTCAAACTCGGTGCATGAAAATAAAAAGTTGGTTTTTGATAGCTGGTCTAGTGTAAATTGGAATTTTGAACAGGTTTGTAACTTCAAAATCAAAAATTTGTTTGCGGAAACCTAAGTTTTTGCGGCTGAAACTATGATTTCTAGAACTGAAACTATGGTTTGACCACTTGGTTTTAGAGTTTTGAGATTGAAAATTTAGGTTGGTCTCTCTAATATATTTCTATTCCAGAAATAAAATTGCCAAAAAGATGAAAATTTTAGCTTAAAACGACGATTTTAGTTTTCTGAAACTATAAGTTTGAGGGCTCAAACTAACACCTTCTAGAAGTTTTTTGAGTTTAAAAATTTGTTAGTGCATTAAAGATTCTTTTTATCTTTCAATATTTCACAAAAAGTTTTCTCGGGAAGCAAGATTTTTTGGTTCTGAAACCAAAAACACCAATTCTGAAACGTACGTTTCAGCCTTAGGAACCAAAATTTAAAATTGGTTTGGTGGGTTTTAACACCGTTAGTTTTCTTTAGAAAGTCAAAATTCGGCGTTCGAAGCTCAATTTTGAGACCAAAAACTCAATTTTTGTGTTCTGAAACCTGAAACTAACAAAAACGTACCATTTAAGACCAGGTTTTTGACTTATGGCATCCAAATTTGGGTTTGACTAGTTCAACTTTTGCTGTTTTACCCGAATCCGTTTACAGAAACTTAAAATTTTGATCGGAAACTGTACTTATTTTAACTGAAACGTTTGACCCTATAACTGAAACCAAGACTGAAACCAAAAATTTTTGCTGGTAAAAATAAATTTTTTAGTGCTTATGCTATCATATGTAACCTGTTCTATCAATATAAAGTGGAAGTGTCAGTGTTTTAAACTTAGTTTTTTTGTGAAACCTGATATTTTTGTGCTGAAACTAAAAGTTGGTGTTTGGTGTTATGTGGTTAACGTTTAAGATTGGTTTTAGTGTGTAATCTTTTTATTTATTAGGTGTATATTTAAACTGTGTCAAAAAAAACTAATGATTTATCAAAAAACACTCAAACCCGTTCCTTCCTTTTTGGTTTTTGTTATTTTCTTCCTTAGTTTCAGTAATTGGTAGCTTTACTGATGGATGATTTAGGTTTAAGTTACGTTAAGGTGGATAGAATTAAAATGAGTTTAAGAAAAGTTGAGGATAAGCCTCGAGAATTGATGAAGGATTAGAATAAATAGCAACAAGCGTGGTTGGTTTGAGATAATGTGATGAAGAATTCAATTTATCATACAATTTAGAGTACTCTTAGATCGCACATATGACCACTTAACCCCCTCGAAAAAATAATTGAAGATATTTAATAAGTTTTTTGAGCACTTTAGTTTAATACAGAATTTCGTTAATTTTAGTGATGATAACTTCAAACTGAAGTTTCGGCAAAAGTTTAGTGGATTACTGGACAAAACGGGTACATCTTACTAGCAGACTTAGGCAGAGAACGATTCTTTCAGAAATTTTATATATTATTATAATAATAGATAATAGTTAAGTTCATGAGCTAATGTCAGTTAGAAAGCCGTCTAATAGACCTCGAGATGGAGGGATATCGTGGGCGACTGCTAGCGCAGGGGATGCTTTCGCAAGAACCCTACTAGGAATATCTGTCAAGAAGAAGACAACGAAATTGTGTTTCTATCGAAAGATACCCATTGTCTCTGGCTTTTTGAGGTTGGAAACTAATCTGACAAATACTCTTAGATCCTAATATTGATATATTTTTTTGAATTTTAAAAGCTGTTTCGAGTTTGTTGGAAAAAGAATACTAAGCGCTCATTGCTGGTTGAATGCTTAGTACTTTTATCCTAATTTATAAGTCTCACCTTAGATCGTCAAATTGTCTTGACAAAAAGTAGAGTAGAAACAATAGTTAGAAAAGGTATGAATTAATTAGTTGGTTAGATACAAAGCACTGGGTTATTAGATTATATAAACGAATCGAACAGCTTAAAGAAATATACCTATGAGGGGAGGTTGAGCTAATCTTATTTTGTTCATCAATATTTTATCTTCTTACTAAGGTCGGTGGCTGATTATCATGTATGGTTGCCCTTGATGTTTGTCCAAGTCAGCATTTCTGGTTGGGTCGTCTGAATCGTCTTGCCGTAGTCCTTTGGGTACTTGTAGTCCAGACTTCCTCAGATGGGGTTATCTCGAGTATCTCGATTTATAATTTTATCGAACTTGAAATGAGAATTTATTCTCTATTTTATTTGTGAAAAAAGACTAGTTTAATTTTAGTGTATAGGCAGAAAAGAAAAATTATTTATTTTTTGAAAATGTCTAACTGAAGATATCTAACTTGTTGCTTACTGAGCAAAATGAAACACTGAAGATTTCAGGCCAGTCCTTTTGCTCGTAAGCATAAACCGGCGGCTGATTCAATCTTTAATTATTCAGGTTTCACCTGCTCCTTTGTTCTCCCTTTCTTATAAGGGAATTTTCAACTAGTTTTTATTTGATTTTGTCAAATCAAATATCTTTAACTTATTAGTCCCCTTTGATAAAAACCGCAGCCTTCAGTTTGTCTTATTAAAAATTCATATTACTCTCTCTGATGCATCATATTGCAGGTGCACCTCTGCTTAATCAAAGTAAGGAGAATTTCAGTGCAGCCGGCAAGACTGCTAAATATTTATCCAGTTTGTTTCAAGTTAAGTTAAAAGGGACGTATTAATAATCGCCGCCCTTTTAAAATATTGAGCATGAAAAAATGAGAAAAATTGGACAAGTATTTAAAAAGGAGTGGATTTTCACAACAAGATTTTATAGTCCTAATAAGAGTAAATCAGTCAATATCTGATTTAGTGAAAAGAGGCTTTAATTTAAATGGCACGCTCCAATTTAGAATTGGGTCGTTAAATAAACAATTAAGACAATGGTCTTTTGTGTGTGTGTAGTATTTCGCAATACTACAATATGCAAGGGGAAATGGTCAACAAACACTTATCACTAGCGAGGAAATTTGCCATTACGATCAAAGACACTTTTCTTGCTTTACAAGTTAGCACAATTATCATTCTTTAAATGGCCGTGTTTCTAAGCTTAAGTTCAAAGCAATTAAATTATTAATTGTTTCTTTCTTCAACCAAACTGATTAGTAACTTTGTTTTCTATAAATTGAATTAAACTTCAAGTACTACTTTTCTTTTTCAAAAGCAACTAACAAATGAAGAAAATTGATCGCAATTAGGCAGCGCCCTGATTTTTCCGATTGCCGCTTGAATCCGACTAAAAAAATTTGTTAAAGATTGATAGAAAAAATTTTAAAAAGTTTAAAAATATTGATTTTTATTTTTCATTTTTTCTATTATTTAATCCTCCTCGCTCTGTAGATTCAACTGATATAAATTGAAGCTAATCGGATCGTTATAATTACATCAAAATAATTTCCTTCATTCAATTTTCAATGATATAATTTGCCGCCCACGCTTCAAAAGGACAAAAATATTATCCCAATTTTAAACTATAGTCGTCAAAGTAGTCCCAAGTCCAGACCATTTTAACTATGTAATAAATGATCAAAAGCGAAATTTCTTTGAATTTTGAGCATTAATATCTATCAGACTCTATTCCGTCAAAAACTGCTATTACTTATCAGATTTTTGTCTGGAGTAAAAGCCAACCCGGGCACAAATATTCCGACCGTTTCTGCAAAAGGCGGAACAATAATCAAGAAACAAAATGTTTTTTTTGCCAACTTTTTCAAATTTTCTTTCATATTAGTTTTTCTAATTTTTAACATGAAAGTTGAAAAAAAAACATTGATATCATCAAACGATTTAGAAAGATATTAATGATTGTATTTGAAGAGAGAACAAATTCGGATAACAAACAAATCTACAAAAAACAAGACTGTTGGAATCAGGGCGAAGCTCTGAATGTTCCGATTGCCTTTTATGGAGCAGTAATAACATAAAAAATTAAATTTAGTACAAAAATGAATTATTTTTTTCTAAAGTTTGAATTTTTTAAAATCATCTCCCCACACGTCATAATAAGTACTATGTGATAGACTTTGCTCCTAATAACAAATCAATTGTGTCATATAAGCTTCCTTGAACCAATTTGGAACAATTTCAAAGAGAAAAAACAACAAGACTGCTCGTATCAGGGCGAAGCCCTGAATGTTCCGACTGCCTTTTAAAGTTTATGGAGCATTAATAACATAAAAAATTTAATGTAGTAAAAAAATGAATTTTTTTTTCTAAAGTTTGAATTTTCTTTAATCATCCCCGCACACGTCATAATAAGTACTTGCTGATAGACTTTGCTCCTAATAACAAATCAATTATGGCATTTAAGCTTCCTTGAACCAATTTGGAACGATTTCAAAGAGAAAAAACAACAAGACTGCTTGTATCAGGGCGAAACCCTGAATGCCCCGACTGCCTTTTAATGTTTATGGAGCAGTAATAACGTATAAAAAATTAAATGTAATAAAATTAAATGAAAATTTTTTTTCTAAACTTTGAAATTTTTTTATGAAAATCATCCCCCCACATGCCATATAAAGTACAAAAGGATAGAATTCGCATCTTGTAGCAAATCAATTATGGCAAATAAGCTTCTTTCAACCACATTGGAAGGATTTCTAAGACGGATTAAATCTCATTTACGCGTTTATAGCGCGAAATATATCACGCGTGAATTGTTCCAAATTGGCCAAAATGGCAACCTGTAAACCTCCATAACTTTACGAAAAATAATCACAGGTGAAATATCTTTTCAAATTTAAGCTCAAGACAACAATACCTTTCGAATGATATAAAAAATTCCGTCAAAAATGGCTAGTTAAAAAGTCGAAATTTGTCTGAAGAAAAAAAACCCATCCCGAGCACAATTATTCCGTTACTTTCGTATCGAAAGTCGGAACAATAAGCTAGAGATAAACAAAACTGCTTGCATCAAGGCAGCGACCGCAACGTTAAGACTGTATTTTATCATCCATAGAGTAGAGTTCGATTTGACACATTTCATAAAGTTTTGAAAATTGAAAAAAAAATTATGATAAAAACATTTCCTTACACTATATTTAAAAGTGATATAATTAGCCGGAAATAACAAATTATTTCAATCAAATAAAACGCTTCAAATTAGTTTTGAGTGGTTTTGAGACGAATTTAATAACCGCTTACGCGTTGAAAGCACGAAATTTAATCGCGCACTAAAAACACCCAGGTAAATTTCAAGCCCTTTAAACATTGTAAACAATAGTAACAGGTAAATTATTCTTTTTTTTTCGAATTTGAGCATGAGTCACTATAATATGCTTCAGATGAACTTGTCTGGAGATAAATTTGCGAGCATAAGTTTTTCGTTAGCTACTTTGAAAACCTAAGCGAAAACCTAAGCAACTTTTTACTTTGTTGCCATGCAAAATTTGGCGCAAATAAGTGAGTTTAAGGGAATCGAGTACTGAGACAGGTTCTTGTTGTTGGGTCAAAAAACAGTAGGACAACCAGGGGCGGATCTAGGATTTTTCGAGGGCGAGGGGGGGGGCGGATTTTGAAAAACCAGAAACAGTCCAAAAGGCATCGAATTCCTGAGACAAACCCATACCATGGCTGCGGAGGACCTCTTGCCCTTCTGATTTCTGATACGACCAGTAAAAACAACGTGGGCAGGATACAATCTTTATCGGATACTAAAAACCGGATTGGTAGGACACAATTGAAAAGTTCTCTGTAGTCAAAACCACAGAATACTATTGGAGAAAAACCACAAGTAGGACGAAGAGAAAAAGCAGGAAATTAATTGTGTTATCTGTCCTATATATCTAAGCATTCAGTCAAGTTACTCAGAAACTCGTTTGTCATAAGATCATAATTATGCCCGTTATGCCTACTTAAGTCCATTATTTTCTCCTCAGGGCTAATTGATCTTGAGTCATATATGTAAATAAGTTTGCCACCTGTCCTATAGCAACTCCTGTTTCATTATTAATCAAAAGAAACCAAATTATCCGGTTTGCTCAGCCTAAATAAAAGTAGTCTTGAAAGTATGTATAGATATACTCAGGCCATTTCACATTGCATCTCACAATAAAAAATAGTTTTTGCTAGCCAGTAAAGCTTTGCTCGAGTCTACTCACTTTCTGTATGCAGGCCATAAGCAGCAACATAGCAATGGCAGGAGCTTTTTTTTCGCGTTTTGAGTTTTGGTTTTTATAAAGAAGGAAACATGAAGACTTTTTATTTATATAAAAAAAATATGGCGATAAAAATCTTATGTAACCCAATTGGCAGATAGCCATGATTGAGCAAACGGTTCCATTAGAAGAAACAATGATCGTTTATCGTTTAAGTAAATTTTAATAAAAGTATTATAGTAAGAAAAATAGGCGTATATTTTACTCTTTCTCCCGATCAAATTGAAAATAAAATTTTTCTGACTATCTCTGACAATCGAATCAATTTTCTCACTTTATCAATCTCGGATTCCTCAATCTAAGCCCCGGACTCCTCAATCTCAACCTCGGACTTCTCAATCTCAACCTCGAACTCCTCAATCTCAAACTCGGACTTCTCAATCTCAACCTCGGTTTCTCTCAATCTCAACCTCGAACTCCTCAATCTCAATTTCGGACTCCTCAATCTCAACCTCGGACTCCTCAATCTCAACCTCGGATCCTCAATCTCAACCTCGAACTCCTCAATCTCAACCTCGGACTCCTCAATCTCAATTTCGGACTCCTCAATCTCAATTTCGATCTCCTGAATCTCAAATTCGGCTTCCTCAATCTCAAACTCGGACTTCTCAATCTCAACCTCGGTTTCTCTCAATCTCAACCTCGAACTCCTCAATCTCAATTTCGATCCCCTGAATCTCAACCTCGGACTCCTCAATCTCAATTTCGATCTCCTGAATCTCAACCTCGGACTCCTCAATCTCAACCTCGAACTCCACAATCTCAATTTCGGATTCCTCAATCTCAACCTCGGACTCCTCAATCTCAACCTCGAACTCCTCAATCTCAACCTCGGACTCCTCAATCTCAACCTCGGACTCCTCAATCTCAACCTCGAACTCCTCAATCTCAATTTCGGATCCTCAATCTCAATTTCGGATCCTCAATCTCAACTTCGGACTCCTCAATCTCAACCTCGGACTCCTCAATCTCAATTTCGATCTCCTGAATCTGAACCTCGGATTCCTCAATCTCAACCTCGAACTCCTCCATCTCAATTTCGGACTCCTCAATCTGAACCTCGGACTCCTCAATCTCAACCTCCAAATCCTCAATCTCAATTTCGGATCCTCAATCTCAACCTCGGATCCTCAATCTCAACCTCGGACTCCTCAATCTCAATTTCGATCTCCTGAATCTCAAATTCGGCTTCCTCAATCTCAAACTCGGACTTCTCAATCTACACTTTTCTGATAACTAAGACAATTGTCTCTGCTGAGCTAAGACTCATCTAAATACTCGTTGTCTCATGATTTTCAAACTTGCGTCTTGTTCTAGTTATACAAATATTTTGCCCATTTTGATGATCCAAAAAAATTTCGGTTGATTTACATTTCAAGAAACTTTGAAAGCATACAAAATAAAATCCGTGATGAAAAGAATCTGACAGTTCACAAACTCCATATATATGAAATTTTAAAAGTCGCTCTGCGATTAGTCTCAGGGCTACCTTCGGAAAAAATTTGTAAATGAATTTTTTAAATTCTGTGCGCTTTCGTACAATACTAGAAGGGCAATTTTAGATTTGGTGAAAACACCAAATCTGAAAAACAAATTTCAACGAGCGTCACTTAGTTACAGGGGAACAAATGTTTTTGATTTACTCCGAAAATACTTATTTCTGCCCACAATTTTTGCTGGTTTTCTCAAGCCAATATTCAACAAATTGCTCACCAAAAGCGTGAACTTTTCATATTGAGCAAGGAAGATCTGATCAGTTTTTTTTGTTAAAGATTTGTATTTTAACTAAACTGATGTTTCAATAGAACAACCCTATTTCCGAAATTAATACAATTTTGACGTGGATTTTCAAATCTTTTTGGCCTTTGAAAGCCCCTAAAATAACTTGTTCACTGGTTACTGCCACATGGGTTCAGTTAGATGTCTTCTGGCTCTCAAGCCCCCATTCACAGTTTTTGATGTTACGTGGGCTCTAGTAGAGGAGACACAGCTAGTAGAAGCAGTAATCGCTAAGTGAACAAGTTCAAATTGTGAAATGAAACCGGTTAAAGATGCCTACGACTAGCGAGTTTTCAATTTTTTTCAGCAAAAGAAGTAGTTTTTTACGTTTCAACTCCGTTTTCATATTACAGCAAAACTAATGTCATTCAAATCGGACCCTTTTAGTTCAGTAGATGCACAACTTGTTGAGATGGTGCCACACACCGTTTTTATGCATTTTTGTGGTATTTGCAAGATCGTTTTCTTCAGCTATTGCATTTAGGCTTGATTGTTTGGGTATTTAAATTTTTTATTTGTTGTTTCTAAATTGATTTCAAACAACTTCAGGGTAGCACTTGGCAACCCTTATGGATTCGTTAGCCGTCCACTCTTCGTCACTGATGTATTTTAGATCATTCATCTGGTTAAAAAATAACTAACATCAAAAAATTAATTCTTCTTCTTCTTCTTCTTCTTTTTCTTATCTTTCAATTGTCCAACCTCTTGATGTCCAACTTTTTGTCCATAATTGCATTTGAAGTTTCGTAGGACTTTTGTGTTGACCTGTTTTGGGGGTTCTTTCTTAATTTGAAATTTCCGCCTGGTCTGTTTTTGAACAAGTTCGAACGCTGAACAGTTTCCCTAGGCCACTAGATCCACTTGAATTGTGCCTCGATCCATATCATCTTTGACTTGATGCAAACTTGGGTGGCCGCATCTGCATTTTTGTCGTTTTTGTCTAAATTCTAACCTAACAGCCAAAGGATGCTTTCGTCCAGAACAATGTCGGCTAGTTTACCTAAGATTGGTTCCTCTATGTCGCTGTGATTTGTGCTTCTAAACATCTTTTAAAAGTTTAAAGTCCAAGTAAAGCCATCAACCTTTTCTCCTGCTTGGTCAACATTGATCGCTGGTCCCTTTAAGTTTCATGTGATCTGTCTCAACTTTTTCAACGTATCGACAAAATGCTCAGATAGGTATTCTCATCTAGAACCTCTATATTTATCTGTGTATAGCCAAAATCCCATTAGAAACGATACATCTCATGGTTTAAATGGACAGACCTCGTTTTTTCGGTATTAGAAACTTTGTTGACATTCTCTGTTGGGGCGTAGCGCTAGTTAGGACTTTCTTTTCAGTCCGGATACAATTGATTGTCTTAAGCCCCCTTGCCACGGTAGCTTCTCCTTTTCTTCTTTGGAACTGCGTTTGAGTGTGATAACATTCTTTTGACGGCTCTTTTTTTCAATTAACACACCTTGTGATGGAACCTCTCGCCAAGGAATGACGGTGGCGGACGCTCCCTCTTTGCTATCAGGTATAAACAGGTTAGGCTCTTCATTTTTGGCGTAATATTGTGCGGGCTCTAGACGCTGCAGGATGCTTTTTGGAAATTTTTATCGATAATCGCACTACTTCCAGAGTTAGCTTATTATAGCTGAAGACAATGCTGAAATAAGATTAAGAAAATTAAAATTTTTTCGGGTTCCAACCGAAATTAACGGGAACTCCAAACATGACTGGAAAACCAAAAACCAAACCCGTGATGCAAAAGCAAACCCATGAAACCAAACCATAGACCATTGCATGTCGGGATTATAGTTCTAAATTTTTATAGGCTCTTTTAGTTTTTTTCAGTTTTTGCCCATTTCGAGCAAAAACTTACCCATTTTATAATAACCTATTCGAAGGTTTGATGTTTTAATCTTTTAGATGTTGCCACGCAATTTATTATAACAAAAATGTCATCAATGAAAAAAAATCTCTCGAAATATTTTGTCATTTGATTGATTGTTGTTTTTCAAATATACCGCGGATTGTTGTTTCGAGAAAAAAATGAAAATTTTGTCTACTTTGTTTTTCGGTCGACCAATTTGAGTTTCTGAGCTCTCCGAAAGTACTATAAGGAAAGTTTAGCCAAAAGTTTCCTCCTCGAATCTAGTTATATTGGCGCCAAAGGCGCATTTTGAAAACTTTTGATGTTGGCCAGCCAAAAATGGATCTCGTAAAATTATACCAAAGGGAGACCCTTCGAAAAACTTTGGCAACCAGAGTTGAGGGGGGAAATATGGAAAACTAATCAACTATCTCGTTATTTATATTTTCCTGGAAGACTTTGACAAAAAAGTGTGGGTTTATTCAGCTTAAATTTTTTGCTGTTTTGTGACGTGTTTTGTGTTTAAGATGTCGAATTGCTGCGCTTCTGACTTTATTAACTCTTCGCTGCTCAAAAAACTTATTACTAATAGGTAGATGATCTGCGAAATCCGACGCGTTGTTTAAGAAATTGGATTCTAAAAATTAGAATTAGAAAAATCGATGACACGCAAAAACATGGTCGTCGCGTTCATTTTCGTCGCGGCTGATTCAACAACAATTTTATACCATTAATCAACTGCGCTGATATAGTTGCATGTACTATATTTGGTTGAAACTGTCAAGGTGGTCAAATTTGTCATCAATTTGGCATTAACTATACTTTGTTATATTCACCTTGTCAATTAAACACTGCGTGTTTTGGCCAATCGTTTTGACGCTGGTCACTTTCTGTAAACACACCAGTTTAGCAAAAACTGACCACTCTTTTTCATCCAACAATTTTCATGAGCGTGCTTTTTCAATGCATGGCCTAACTATCTGAGCCAAACAAAGTAATTGTTGCTGCGCATATTTTGGGCAATTAAAAGGAATTAACTTCAAAAAATATCATTAGCCATGAATTTTAATTTGGTGTCTTTGCTTGCAATTTTATTTTTCTTTCTTCTTTTTACCTCTGTGAACACTCAGTTTACCCAAGATGTCAAGAACGACTTCCAGACGATATTCGGTAAGTGCTCAAGTAAAAATTCCTTTCAGTAAATGCTTAGACTATTTTCCTATGCAAAAATAGTTGCTGCTCAAAATATTCTTATTTTCAAATGCTCAGAATATTGATTCAAATGAAATGAAAGGCAAGAAAAGTTTTTAAAAAAAACGGACAACTCAGGCCGAAATTTGGCCGAAGTTTTTTTCAAGGAAAAATCTAATTAATGGGAATTTTTCCTTAAAACCTGAATTTTTCTCATGGCCATTTTTGGTTGAGATTTGAGGGTTTGTACCCCCAAAGAGCCGCATTCCATGATTCCAGGAAAGCCGAAATGTTTTTTTTTCGTATTCGTATATTTTTTTCTATTGCTGCTTTCCTCGTCGAAAATCCAATTTTCACGGCCAAAAGGGCAAGAAAAATTAAAACTTTTTGAGATTATGTAATTGATGCCATAGGATGGGGGGAGATATAGTTAAGTAGATCCCACTAACTTGTGGGAACAAGGAACAGCTAGAAGTAGAGGGGATATGTCCTGGGAGGGGTGGGGGAGATATAGTTAAGTAGATCCCACTAACTTGTGGGAACAAGGAACAGCTAGAAGTAGAGGGGATATGTCCTGGGAGGGGTGGGGGAGATATTGTTAAGTAGATGCCACTAAACCGGATGTCCTTGCATATCAGAATTATGTAAATTGACAAAATGTCTATTGAATAGTCTGTGGTATGAAAACAATTTAGTATTAACTTGTGGGAACAACTGGGTTTTGTTTAGACAATGTGTTCCTCAACAGTCGATGTCAGGACCGCACCCGCTGCATGATGAGCGAGTGGGACTATGTGAAAGATTTGACAAATGACATGGATGACCAGTACATTGGACCCACTATCTACATACAGCCTGGCAACTGGTACTACGACAGGGACAACAAAGACCCCGTCCACATTTCCCACTTCATGTGTGCCGCCACACAGGACTTTGATGACGTCGCTTTCTACAGGTGAACAACTCAGGGTCTTTTCTGCTCAAATATGATTGGTCGCAAATAATTTTCCAGAGAAAGAATTTACATGAATTATGAAGTTGTTTTATGCAAACAAAACATAAGCTCAATTATTAATTTACGGCCAATAATTTACTGTTTTATGGCCAGAAATTAACAAAATTATTAATTGAGCTTTGTTTTTATTTTCAAAAAAATGCATATAATAATTTTTTTCTCTGGAAGTGTTTTCGACCAATCAGATTTGAGCATGGTGATTCAAATTTCAAAATATGAAAAAGATCAGTTTTCGAACGTACACTCTAAAAAACAATTATGTAAAATTTTCGCAAGTTCACGTGTCTGTCGCAAAAGCCCTGTCGACAACTGATCTTGGAAGCAGTTTTTGATTCGAGTGTTTTTTGTTAGCAAAACCAGATGTCATTAATAGACATTGTAGCGTATATTTTTGGAGGCTGAGTACTAAGCAGAGTGGTCCAAGAGCAGAACGTGTCGAAAAGTGGACCGCTGATGCAATGGTACCAAAATGAGAAATATAATAGTGAGAAGTGTCTCCCAACTTTTTTTTCGCTTTGTTTTGCATTTGGAGGCCCACATATAAAAGTTTTTCTGAATGAACTTTTATGGGCAGAGCAAGCAAATTATCAAAATTCAAAGAAGAACAGGAAAAACAGTCCATTCGCAAATTCGGAAAAAAAATTTTGAAAATAAAAATTCGAAGTGAAAATCTGTGGCCGAATTTGTTGTATTAGCATTAGCAATCATCTGATTGCCGGTTCGAAACTTGCTCTGGTGTGCCACAAACTGCAACGCGACCTCTTTAAGTAAGTAATAGCATAGCTAAGTTAAGCTTCAGTAAGTAACTACTCGGTTATGCCGTTTGCTGGTTATTTAAAACCATGTTCACTTCTACCTCTACAGTAACGACCAGAAAAGTGCGTATTCATTCTTGCAGAAGAAATATACACTGTTTCTAAGCTATATAAACTATAGAATCAATAACTTTAGCTTTCAAATCTAAGCTTGGTACAATTCGCCATTTGACATTTTAGTCCGTTTTCAAGCGTCTAGCAAGTTTGAAAATGATGATTCACGATATACGGTAGTTCATATTTCCTTGTAATTAAGCTTAGAAAACCATAGGCTTTCTTAATTATACGCTAAGAAACAAACAAAACTGCTCGTATCAGGGCGAAGCCCTGAATGTTCCGACTGCCTTTTAAGGTTTATGGAGCAGTAATAACTTTAAAAAAATTAAATAAAATTAAAAAAAAAAAAATTCGAAATTTTTTTATATAAAAATTATCCCCCACACGCCATATAAAGTACAAAAGGATAAATTTCGCTCCTTGTACCAAATCAATTATGGCAAATGAGCTTATTTCAACCAACTTGGAACGCTTTCTAAGACGGATTGTATCTCCGCTTACGCGTTATTAGCGCGAAATATATCGCGCGTTAATTGTCCCTAATTGGCCGAAATTGCAATCTTTAAACCCGCATAACTTTACGAAAAAGAATCACGGGTGAAATATTTTCTCAAATTTAAGCTCAGGACAACAATACCTTTTGAATGATATAAAAAACTACATCAGATATGGCTAGTTAAAAAGTCGAAATTTGTCTGAATGAAAAAAAACCCACCCCGAGCACAAATATTCCGTTACTTTCGTATCGAAAGTCGGAACAAAATCACGTTCCTTGTTGATTTCCACATCTCAAAGATGAAGTACAACTTTTCAGGACTATTTTAAGCTTTGGTAAAACTCGATCATTGAAAAACATTGTGTTCCATAGGTAAAGGTCGGAGTTATTGATATGCTCATTTGTATAATGAAAAGAAGTTCTAGAGAGAGCTTTTGAGCTTGAAATTCCCAATGGAGCTTTTGAAAATTAAGGTTTCCTGTTCCGACTTTCGTCACGGAACTAACGGAATATTTGTGCTCGGATTGTTTTTTTTTCATCAGATAAGTTTCGACTTTTTAACCAGCCATTTTTGACAAATTTTCTTAAATTCCTTCGAAAGTTATTTTTGTCTTGAGCTTAAATTTGAAAAAATATATATTTCACCTGTGATCATCTTTAGTACAGTTATGGGGGTTCAAAGGTTACCTTTTTGGCCAATTTGGGACAATTACCGCGCGATATATTTCGCGTTATTAACGCGCAAGCGGAGATTTAATCAGTCTTAGATTCTTCCAAATTGGTTAAAGGAAGCTTATTTGCCATAAGTATTTCGTTACAAGGAGCAAAGTCTATGATTTTGTAGTTTCTAGGGTGTGTGGGCGAATGATTTTCACAAAAAAAAACTTAAATTAAAAAAAAGTTACGATTTATTTTATTACAAATAGTTTTTCCATGTTATTACTGCTCCATAAACCTTACAAGGTAGCTGGAACATTCAGGGTTTCATCCTGATACGAGCAGTTTTGTTCACTTATAAATCATTTTGTACAACATAATAAAAAGTGTAGGTTGCGAATGTCCTGCGATGCACACCTTTCGTAACTTTTTGACTCAGAGGGTCGAGATTTTCCTTGACAAAGCTTCAGAAGAACAAAAATCAAATCTATCAACAATAACTGGAGAAATCAAAGAGAAAAACTACAATAATGAATTCATTCGTGACTTTCCTTACCAAGTTTTGGGCGAACAAATTCCTCAGTTGGTATGAAATTTTTTGTTGCACTTGATTGGTTTGAGATTTTCTTCGGCTAACCGGGCATACATATAACATGATGACACAGTTAGAGTAACAACTTTTCTTTCAGAAAAAAGAAAAAAACAACTGGTCTGGAACAATATTTAAGTATTTGAAGAAGTAAAAACGATCAAAGAGATTATAGTATGAAAAATACTACAGCGAAAAGAAAATGAAGTTTCATTGAAGAACAAAGAAAGGCAACCAAATTTCTTGTAAAAAAAATGAGATCACACAAAACTTCCTATATGTTTAAATCACAGCTCGAAAAAGTAGCACAAATTGATTTTAAGCGCTATCAGAAACCTTGCTGAATAAAAACTCACCAAACAATAATTTTAGATTAGAAAGGTATCACGATTTAATTACATGCAGTAGAGAAAAGAAGGGAGGAAGAATAGAGTTTTTTGTCCAAACAGGATTTATTAAAACAGCTTCATCAGAAAAATCGAACTCGATCGATTTCAGTTTTTAATCGTTAAATCCAGATGAAAAAAAACTCTTAAAAAGAATAGGAATTTCGACGGTTTTGTGCAGGAGCCCAAAAGGCCAAATAGACATTTTTGAAAATTTAGCTAAGCATTTTCTAGCTCTAGAACTCGAAGTCAAAAGATACTTTTTTATTTGTAGAGATTTCCACACCAACTTTGATAATGACAGTTTTTTATGTGACCCAAAAAATGTTTGTTTTTTGTACCCCGGCGAGCTTACAATGACCCATGAAACCATAATGCCGTTACTTGAATTGGTTTAATCTTTGAAAACTAACAAATAACAGCATCAAGTTACAAATCTGAAACCAGTGACCTTATCACAATAGTTACTAGTTATGAAAAGAAATTATGAAAGAAACATATTTGTTGAGTACAGGAACCCAGTACCCAGTTTAGGTAAAACTGGAAAAGTATATATCAACTGGGCAAAAATTCAAACTCGCTTATTTGGCTGTGTTAAAAGAATTTCAGATGAACGAAAATGGCTCAAACATTTGAAGCTGAATCAAGGTAAACAAAAAGCGGATAAATCCATAAAAGAAAGGGACTGTAAACCATGAATAAACCGGGAAATCCAGAAAAAATGCAAAACAAAACAAATGGATCTTAAAACATTAACCAAATCAAAAAATTTGGCGAGCTAATAGAAAACAACGGCAACATGTACAATCCTTAATTGCATCACCAAAATGTGCGTTTTAAAAAAACAAACAAACAAACCAAGTGCAAAAACAATATTCGCAAACTGATGAAAATATTAGTAAACGAAACTCCAAATTAGTCATTTGAACAGACCAATAATTCTGTCAAACAGTAGAAGAGCCGACAAAAATCTCAAATCAATAAATCAATCAAGTGTTAAATTGGGACGTTCTAAAATTTTAAAAGTTAAATTTTTCAAAAACTTCAATTATTTAGCAACAGAAAATGTCATAGCAACTGAAGAAACTGTTCGCCCAAAAAATCAAATTCCAAAATTTGTCAAGAAACGTCATTGGCAAAGTCATTATCGTATTCTTTCTCTTTGATTTCTCCAGTTTTTTTTTTCAATATATTCGATTTTTCTTCTTCTGAAGCTTTTTTGTCGCCTAAGTCACGAAAAATCTCGACCATCTACGTCAAAAAGCCACAAGAGGTGTGGATAGCAGGACATTCACTATCTACACTTTTTTTTGCATATACAAGTAAATACATAAATGAACAGGACTCCTCGTTTCAGGGTGAAACCCTGATTGTTCCGGCTGATTTCAAGTTCTATGGAGCAGTAATAACATGAAAAAAAAAACTAATAAAATAAACAGAAATTTTTTTAATTTAAGGCTTTTTGTGAACATCATCACCCCCACACACTATATAAACTACAAAATGATAGAGTTTGCTCCTAGTAACAAATCAAATATGGCAAATAAACTTTATTCACCAACTTCGAACGATTTCTAAGGCAGATTAACGGGAAAGGTAACGCGCGTTAATTGTACCAAGTCCGCCAAAACTGGCAATCATTAAACCCCTATTATTTTACAAAAAATTAACACAGGTGAAATATTTTTTGAAATTTAAGCTCCGGACAGCAAAACCATTTTACATAACAAAAATGGTTAGTGAAAAATTCGAAATTTGTCTGAAGAAAAAAACACACCCCGAGCACAAGTATTCCGTTACTTTCGTTGCAAAATTCGGAACAAAAAAACAAACTCTTGGTAAAATAATTTGGCTTTTTTATTCATTCCTTAAATCCATGAGGGCTGTAATTGCATTTTTTTGACGCTGTTACTCAAACGGGCTATGAAAAAAGTGCCTAAAAATTTCATTTGAACAAGAATGAGCCGTCGAAATTGATTGCTCTAATTATCGCCCCAACTCACTGTTTCCAATTTTCAGCAATGTACTGAAAAAAATGTATTCAAAATCAATTGATTGTTTTCCTGTAAAACAACAAAATTATGTCAGTTATGCATAAAGCTTATCGAAAAAAAAACAAAAAAAATGTTTTCGTTCATTAGTCTGGTGGAAAAAAAACAAATAAATTTGCAAAAAAAAGCAGATTTAGAGTACCTTGATTGATTTTACAAAAAATTTTGACTCATTTCATATAAGTTGTTTTCACTAAAAAATTTCTTTATGGATATTGCGGACCAAGGTATAGTTTGTTTAAGTCATAATTAAATGAAACCAACACACACTCAACCAAATCTGACATTCGTATCATAAGAAGTGCCACCAGGTTCTGTCCTCGGTCCGGTGTTTTTGATAAAATCATTTTTAAACGGTGTTTTTGATAAAATCAAATTCTCGTAAAATATTTATTTGCTGATGATACTGTTATAACAGCAAACCTTAAACAAGAATTGCACTCAAGTAACGGTCTTAATTCAAATAGATTAGATGATTGATTTGCTCTAAAAATTGACAAAAACTAGCGGTATGACAAAAGTTGTGATTTTTGAAACTAACAAAAATAAAATTAGCATCGCCAACTTCGACGAAAAAAAATCGGATCTTACACTTTTGTTGGCTATGTTTTTGATTGCAACTTATTTTGAAAGAACACGCTGTACATATAAAGAAAAAGTTATTGCAAATCAAGAAAAAACGCTGCGGATCTGTATACATTGAGACAAGATTTAACCAGGAAAGAATCATTTGAAATTTACAACACCTATGATAGCTTTGTATTCGATAATATACGGAAGTATACGGACAATATACGGAACTACCAAAAACCTGTTAATGATGACTTGGAGAAAAACTAGCGCTTTTATGGAGACTATGCTTGAGTCTTAGAAACATTGACAGTGAGGCTTATTTGAGGCTTATTGTGAGCGAAAATTACTAACATTAAAAAAAAACAGTTTTAACTGAAACAGCTGATAAATTTTTAGCGAAAGTACTACAAAAGTTCTAGTCAAAAGTACTGGCGAAAATATATAGCATAAGTGCTAATCTCGTGTAACCCAATGGTTGTTTTTTACTTTTTTTAAATGTCTACAATGCTTGCACCATTTTCTAGCATGTCTTCGCTTATTATATGGCTCGATGAATTATTGCTCTCTTTAAGGGAATTAGAAACAAGTCACAAGACATAATAATCTCTTACAGTTAGTTTCATCTTATGAAAGCAAGTAAATACTATTGTTTTTTTGCTCAAATCAATCGGGAACTTACTAATCAAATAATTGGTTCAAAAAAATTCAAACATTAATTTGTTTTATAATACTTTTTTTACCTCTCGATCAAATATATGGTTCGCAAATTTAAGCTGCAGCTTCATTTCGTTGACTGTTGTATCAAACTATTTAACAAAACTGACGAAAAACAGAGTGAAATTGTGTTTTTTTTTCGTTGTTCCAACGCTTTAACTTGATATCACTTTTTGGCTATGCAACTGAAAAACTCAATTTAATTTTGAGTAAAAACTCAACAAAAAAAATATCAATTTAATCGTGTCATCACTTTCGCCATAATATAATTCGACGACTTATTCAAACAGGCTCAAGTCATAATGGAGGACATAGAATGGGTTTTAACTTCTAAAGTATCATTTACAAGAAGCAAACAAGTGCTCCGCTGCATTTTTTGGCCGAACTTGTTTTGAGCAATTGAACCACTGGTTGTCGCATAATTCTACAAGTTTCGCATAGTTAAAAAGTTTTAAAAAATTTTTATTTTTGTCGCCGCCTTTTTTCTCCGCTCCATTCTTCAAGACAAATGTTGCTAAGGGCAAAATCCATCTTGAAGCTGAGCTTCTGGTGAATTTTTTTATATAAAAAATTTCCGCTGATTTTTTTTTACTTATTTGTTCGTGCATAGCCGAAGCTGAGAGATGGGTATTCACAAGTACCAAATAGAAAAATCAGTCCCTTTTGTACCAAAATAAAAAATCAATCGCGTTAGTACCAAAAAGAATTCAGGTGGCAAAAGAGTACTAAACCGACTATTTTAAGCTCTTGGTTTAAGGTCGCCGGTGAGCGCGCTATACGCGCGTCGCTCTTTGTCGGCGATAACCGGATCTAATTTCCGTATATAGTCCTACCCTCTGCTGGCAAGCTCGCAACACGTTGGTGGAACTGCGGCGGTCACTATTCTGCTGTTTAGTTTTCTGCTATTTGAACAGGAGAAAACTAATTTTATGATTCGTCCTATCACAATTTGAGCAATCAGAAATCGAGTTGAATAATTTTGGTACAAATGGGACCGATTTTTTTTTGTATAAATGAACCGTGCTACAAATGGGATTTCACCAGCTGAGCTCGTGTTTTCCAACTGCCGCATCGTTTTAGGACTACTGTTTATTTTACATTACTCTTGTTTTTGTTGCTTGAATTATCAAAATGGGCCAAATTGTGATTTGACAAACGAAGAAAAAACAAGATCACAGTATTTCCGGGGAATGGAGAGACTGTTTCGGAAATTGCACGAGCTTTGAACCGTAAAACAAGAACTGCGAAGAAAGTCACCTAAAAGAGCCAAACGATTCGCAAACTAAGCAAACTAAAATGTGTTCAAGAGAGGTTTACGTAAGCAAATGATTAATTTTGAAGCGCCACTTGGCTACACATATGTACCAATCCCTATGAACCCCCCCCCCCGCAGACCGGGAGATACACTATGGCTTATAACGATAAGCGGGAAATAGTATATTGATGAGAGTTGGAAAGTTTTACTCTCTTTTTAATGTAATTTTAAACATCGCTGAATTATTGTTTATTAATTTCAAAAACAAATTTTGAACGGATGAGTATTTGTCTAGAAAATAGGACAGGTTGTATGATCGAATTTAGACTTTGTAAAGCTTTTTTACTTATTCCGCCCTTATTTAAAATAGCAAAATCTGGAAACCTGAAACGATATTGCTGCAGTATGAATGACTGAAATTAAAGGCTTTCCTAAACCTCAGTTAGAACAACTCATATAACTAGAATTAGTATATGATGCGGTGTTGAAATTTCGGGCGGCGTAAAAAATTTCGTCATGTAGTTCTTTTTTATGGTAATTTTTGTTGTGTAGTTGGTTCAAAGACGGACAGGAGATTCAGGTCACAAGCCCGGAGAACAAGCACATCGCTATAGCTGGGGGTCTGCTGTCGATCAACACCCCCACGGAGGAGGACGCCGGTGCTTACTACTGTTCTGCAACCAACATCGCCGGAACCAGCATCAGCAGGACCAGAAATCTATACACAGCACGTGAGTCCAGAAAATTATTGGGATTTTTGAAAACTTGGAAAACCCCAAAAATAGATTTTTAAGCAAATCATTTTTTTGTTTGTGATTGGATTTGTTTACTATTTGCACAGCAAACGGCCACTCCTAGTCTGGTGTGTCTTGGTTATAAGGTTGAAAGAAGTAACAGCACACACGCATCAAACCTATCCATACAGAAATCGAGCACTAGTAATTAGAAGTCCTCAATGAATAAATAGAAATCATAATCCTCGTCAATAGGCTTTCACTCAGTAATGTTCTCGAGACTTCGAACACCAAGCTGTTTTCTGTTTTAGACGTCGATGAGTTCACAGGAGGCGCAAGAATCGAAGTCGTGTCCTCAAATGGAGTAGCAGTGATTGCTTGTAACAGACCCGAATTCTTCAAAAGTAAGAATGAATTGGTTTAGATTGGACATATTACGAAACCGTTTGAATTGTTCGTGGAAGCTATTTCAAACCAAGTTGGAACAAAAAGGCCCTCTAAATAGCCAGAGATGTCTGAAAACAGACCAAAAGGTTTCATGGCGATCTTCCAAGCTATTAATTTGACGAGCTCTTAATTATTAATTTGACGAGCAATTAATTATTTCTGATAATCCTAATTTTCTGGAAAGTATCAGAAAACTTTCCTCCCAGCAAGCTGATAGATTCAACCATAACTTTTTAGACTGCTATTTTCTGGAAAACGAAGATCTCTTAAGAAATATTTTCTTTTTTATTTTTGTAAGATCCAAATTTTTTTCTAATTTTTTATTGGTAAATGTTCCTTTTTGCGTTTTAGGCGAAATCCACGTAATAATGAATTCTAAAGAATCAAATAATTCTAAGTTCAAACATTGTATCAAATACAGAGCATCAAAAAGATACAACTTAAATTTCACGCACCACCTTTGAATGACCTCTAGGTCCAATGGTGCTCTCCCAGGCAGTAAAATTGTTGGCGGGGTTTGTAAATTCATTTAGTTAACTTCCCAAAATAGAACTACCCGTAAAAAAAAATTTTAAATATTTTTAGATCTGGATTTCTTTTGGACACGACAACGCCTTCTTCCGAACGGAACTCTGCTTGACGAGCAGGAATTTATCGAGGAAAACGACCGCTTCATTATTGACGAGAATAACGGCAACCTCTATATGATTAAGCCGAACCCGAGCGACTTGAACCGAGTATACAAGTGTGTCGTGCGGAACGAGAAAGAGTATGAGCAGGAGACAGGGAGCTACGACTTCGTCTACGGACCGCCGGTGACAATCCGGAGGAGCCGGGATCTGCCGACGATGAACGATCTCTCGTTCAAGTTCCCGACCAACGAGAATTTGGAGTATAGTATTCGAGCATCGAGAAACATCACTATGTGTTGTATTGCAGATGGAGGGTAAGAGCCGTAAACAGTAGTAAAACTTTTATCTCTAGTTTTCAAACATTATTAAAACAAGTTGATTAGATTGAGCTTATTTAAAGGTTAATAAACTAAGCAAGCGTTCAGATCTCAACTAACCTTTAGTTAAGCAATACAACTAGGAGGAGAATGAACTGGTTTTTCTACTAGATCATTTTTTTAGTAACAGTTTTGTCATTTGGTTTTAAATCAATTTTTGGTTTAAATATCAAGCTGCGTGGTATATAAAATCATGCGGACAGTTCAATCTGGCATTAAGTGATCTGGCAGTTTGGCGCATCGATGACGCGCTAGCGCGCTCGCACAAGTATAGCTCAATGCAATTTTAAACTTGCTGGATTACCTATCCATACAAAAACCAAAACAGCCGGTTGCTGTGCAAGTAGCACAGAATGTTCAGACCATATTCATAAAAACTACAAATAAAGTTATTCAAATTGTTAAGTTCTTTAAATTAGTGTAGTTTTTGTACGTGGTGTGATAAGAAAAATATACACAGGCAAAAATAGTAATTTAGGCATGATCGACAACAGTTGTCTTAAAAAAAGAATAACAAACAAAAAAAAAGAAAAAAAAATCGATTTTTTTTTCTATTTTTACCAATATTTTTTAATCCAAATATTATTCCTAGTATTTTTTCCAAAAACTTTTTTTGCCAGGTAAGTATGAATATAGCCTTCAAAACTAACTTCCGTTAGGAAAAATTAAAATTTCTTAACCCAAATGAGCAATCTAACAAGTTATCGTCACTTAATTCGGTCAAACGAAAAATCTAAAATTTCAAACCGATTTTTTCTCGAGACTGCGATTTTTTTGGGGAGTTTTTTGATGTCGTTGGAATCACGACTGAAAGGGTTTTGATATGCTATATCGCTCAACCCAGTCTGATGATTATTTGTGGCAGGGGCGGATTTAGGGGGGGAGCGGGGGGGGGGGGGGCGGACGCCCCCCCCCCCCTCGAAAAAATCCTAGATCCGCCCCTGATTTGTGGCACCTGATTTTGCGTGGAAAATAAGAAAAAACAGAACACACCCGAATACAAAGTTCCTTCCCATTATCAAGGGTCGGAATAAAAATGTTTATGATTTTGGCCAGTTGGTCAGATTGAAATCATTCTATAGAGCAGCATCGAAACAAATAACTTCAACTATTTAACTTAACAGGAAGCAACAAACATGCAAAAATTATCATTAGTTTGCTGTTGAAACTTAGCAAAGTTAATGCTACTGCTTAAGAACTGCTTGCAACTTTTGGGTATTTTTCGGGTCTGGGTAATGTTGCCTCGCCCTCAATCAACGGGCACGAATCAAGATGGGCCTCGTACAACGGACCATTCGACTTAGAGACGGGGACGTATCCTTTTCACCATTGCTCATTGTTTCCGTTTTTTGTTCAGCTACGACCTGCTGACGTACACTTGGACAGTTCCAAATGCGGAGACAGGCAACTACTTTTACCGGTTCCAGGGTGCCAAGTTGGAAATCATAGGAGCCACTCTGGACAACAACGGGGAGTACGAGTGCTCTGTGAGGAACAGGGAGAGAGAGACCTCTATCAAGATGAACTTATACGTCTATGGTAAATAGACTAGCGCCCCAGTTTACATCCCCTCCCCCAAAGCAGTTTGGAGTGGGGGATGTTTGTTAACTTGGGTCTAAGTTGGAATTGGTTGTCAAAAAGAATCGGACATTTCATGCGCAGCGCTTAGCCTTTTAGTTTAAATTGGGGCCTAGGAAATTAGACGATGAGCAAATTAGACGGATACTACAAAAACGAATTTAGACGGAATATATTTTTTACAGATCTGGCATTTTAGACGAAAAAGCTATGAAAAGGAAAGGGCCAACAAAATTTTTTCTTAAGAGTCAAGTTTCACAAATACAAAAAGAACATAAAATGTCAATATCTATCAAAACAATTAGTTTAAATGAACATAAAATGTCAAATCTGAATATTACAGGAGAGTTTTGAATTGAATAAATTATGCATGATTGACTTGTAAAGTTTTTGGCCACCGAAATTGAACTGTTGTCTACAAACCATTTTATTTTTCTAACACAATTTGGGTGCAAACAAAGTTATTTTCTCACAATTGCAGTTTTGCAAAACCGTCTAATTTCCTTTTAAGTACTTCCGTCTAATTTGCTTATCGTCTAATTTCTCAACCCCCTTTCAAATTATAAGCTGGGGTGGAAGATTTTATAAAGGTAAAACTTAAAGTGGAAGACTTAAAGTGGAAGATCAAAGTTTTTCTGCCTCGTTTCGGTACTGAGGTAGATCGGTTTCGGGTAGCTGGCCGATTGACAACATTTCAATTCATACGTAAATTAAACTTAATTATCGGAAATTACAAGTCAACAAAGAATAACGAACTGCCATAAATTTCGGTATTTAAAAGCAGAATTCAATGTCATAAAATACGCAAAATGAAAACATTAAAAAGTCAACTTTAAAATGGCGCCGTAACTGTTTGTGAACTTTGTTTCAATCTTTCAGTTTTCGTCTTTTTTGACACACTGTCTTTTCTTCGCTCACCAGAAAACTCATTAGTTACGACCTTGTTTTTTTCTTGCTAAGAATTCTAGCGAGAACACAAAGGCCTTCCTGGGGGGTTCGATGTATACAAACCATTGCGAGGTATAAAAAACATTGCTGATAGAGACCTGGGCGGATTTAGGGTGGCTGGTCTGAGCTCAACTCTTTCACCGACAAAGAGACCATCTTCAGTTATATTTTATGACACTCAGTTTTGCTCGATTTTGAGGTTGAAGCGCGCTCTGAAAGAACGCAGTTTTTGTAATAAGCTTTTCTAACAAGCGGCCAAAAACAGGGCTTGATAAATAAATTAATTAAATTAAGAAGGATGAGGAAAAGTTTGTTTTTCATGCCGTAGAAGGAAAATTAAATCGATTGAGTTTGTGTTTAGAGCGACCTAGGATCACGAAGCCACTGCAGAACCTGGAAGCGAGAGCGGGAGAGCAACACACATTAAGTTGTGAGGCGAGTATCACATTTTTGTATACACACTCAGGGGTGGATGTAGGTTTTTATCGAATGAGGATGGGGCTGGACGATTTTCAAAACATCAAAAAAGTTTTTGTTGACCGATTTTTTTTCGATTTATGTGGAACTTAACTGTTTTTTTTTTCAGACTTTTTGGATAAAAAATTTGATTTTTCTATTAATAAAACTAGTTTTAGATGTTTAATTTAGCGCTTTTTTGGCGAAAAAATGTGTTTGGTAAAATGTGGTTTTTCACTTCAATGTGTTTTTTCACTTGTTTGGCAAAATGTGTTTTTTCACTTTTTTGTTTATTTATTTTTAAAAAAATTGTAGTCGTTTGTGTTTAATTAATTAAATTTCTACGCGTTCGTATTTTTCTATCATCACACGACGTACAAGAAAAAACACTAATTTGAAGAAAAAAGAAAACGTTTTTTTTTTCTGAGAATTGGGTCGGAACATTATGTGCTACTTGCACAGCAACCGGCCATCCTTGCGTTCATGACTAAAAAATGTCATAACAGAAGGTTAATCTTTTTTTTTCCTTGTTATTTTAGGCAAGCGCAGAGCCAGCGCCCACGTACCAGTGGTACTTCAACGGACAGCCCATCAGACAGGGGTCGGGTCTGAGTCCGAACGGGAATGCACTCGAGTTCGAGATCCTGCGGGACGAACATTCGGGCATGTACCAATGTGAAGCGTTCAACGAACACGGCAACGCAATCACAACCGCTCAAGTCACTGTCGATGGTAAGTTACCATTTCAAGATGGAAGAAAGTGAAAATAGTTTTGTAGTTTGACCAAAAACAAGTTGGTAGGTTGTCGGTCAAATTACAAAACTTGTGGCACTTATTTCAAGAAATAGAAGGTGAAGGTAGTTTAATTACTAAAAACGAAATTGATCGAGGAATTAGGTATATGTTGCTGAAAACCTTGACCTGCATGCAGGGGCGGTTTTATGGCGGGGACGCCCTCTCTCAGGGATTCGACCCCCTGCCGACCCAAAGGGTCCCACCTTTGGTCTAATTTGAGATATCAATTTTGGTGAGGGACCTAAAATTTTTCTAAAAGCGCCTTCGGTGCTAATATATACTAATTTCGCGCGCCAAAAAAAAACGCAATTATTTGGTCGAAATTTTCCAAAAAGTGCCTAAAAACGCCCGAAGTTCAAAATTGGAGGAAAGTGGAAAAGAACCAATATTTCGTTTGCTCGCCCTGTCCCTCGTGAATACACAGTGTTAACTTAAAACCCTGTCTGGTGATGCCTCTTTAGACGTGGAGCCTATCTTTGTGTCTCAATTTGGGTGGCGAGTGGACGGAAGTCTGGTGTTCGAGGAGGGATATGATGGAAGGATTGAGTGCAGACCCTTTGCAATTCCCAGGCCCATTTTCAGCTGGAGCTTCGAGGCCAACCCTATCCAGAACAACACCAAGTACCAGATGTGGCTGAATGGTACTCTCTATATCAAACAGGTGGGTGCATGTGTGCAGGGGGAGGGGGGCTGGAATTGCCATGTTATAAGGCCCAGAACAGAACGGATATTTTTTTGAACATTGGCTCATTGAACTCGAATCTGATTCAATCGAAGTGATTACCGTGGAAGAAAATCTTAAAATTTAACTTCAAACATGAGTGCACTTAATTTTGAGCCGAAAGCAGAAAATGCCCCCCCCCCCCCCAAAAAAAAACCCTAAAAAAGGCCCCCTATTGCCATACAGCGCTCATTTTAAAGGCTTGCGTGTCGCGGGGTTAGATGATTTCAAGAGAGTTGTCGTTGATTTGATTATGTATACCCGTGTCAGGACATTTGTGTCCCAGGCATTTATGTAGCGGCAAAAAAATCATGAGTTGATGAATTCGTAGACGGTGAAAAATTGACTATAGGTGACAGGGGAGGATAATGGAGACTATAAGTGTCTGGCACAAGGAGGGGGCAACAGTGAGGCCATGAACTTCGAAGTGTCCGTCATCCGTGAGTCCTACTTTTTCATCATCATCATCATCTCCAGTCCACGTTTTCATTATTGGTTATTTATCCAATAGAACAGACTTGCAGTTATTTCATAGTTTGAAAAAAAAATGATTTATGGAAGGTTATAACTTATAACTGTTATAACTTTTTTAATTTGTAACATCTGGGCTTAACAGGAAACCGATGATATTTTACCCATTTTCAACGAGCAACTTAGAGTTGTTTTACTTAAGATCATGGAATTCGTCTCGCAATTTTTTGGGAAAAAACTGTATTTGACTGCGAGTAATTATGAGTGAAAACTGATGCAATACACAACACAGTTGATAGAAACGAAAATTTGAAAAGATTCTCCTGACTTCTGGCAGTTGAAAGTGTATTTCACATTCAAACTTGTTCTTCCTCGAAGAGTGGAAGGGAATTTTGAAAAGATTCTCCTGACTTCTGGCAGTTGAAAGTGTATTTCACATTCAAACTTGTTCTTCCTCGAAGAGTGGAAGGGAAAATTGAAACGATTCTCCTGACTTCTGGCAGTTGAAAGTGTATTTCACATTCAAACTTGTTCTTCCTCGAAGAGTGGAAGGGAAATTTGAAAAGATTCTCCTGACTTCTGGCAGTTGAAAGTGTATTTCACATTCAAACTTGTTCTTCCTCGAAGAGTGGAAGGGAAATTTGAAAAGATTCTCCTGAATTCTGGCAGTTGAAAGTGTATTTCACATTCAAACTTGTTCTTCCTCGAAGAGTGGAAGGGAAATTTGAAAAGATTCTCCAGACTTCTGGCAGTTGAAAGTGTATTTCACATTCAAACTTGTTCTTCCTCGAAGAGTGGAAGGGAAATTTGAAAAGATTCTCCTGACTTCTGGCAGTTGAAAGTGTATTTCACATTCAAACTTGTTCTTCCTCGAAGAGTGGAAGGGAAATTTGAAAAGATTCTCCTGACTTCTGGCAGTTGAAAGTGTATTTCACATTCAAACTTGTTCTTCCTCGAAGAGTGGAAGAGAAATTTGAAAAGATTCTCCTGACTCCCGGCAGTTGAAAGTGTATTTCACATTCAAACTTGTTCTTCCTCGAAGAGTGGAAGGGAAATTTGAAAAGATTCTCCTGACTTCTGGCAGTTGAAATTGTATTTCACATTCAAACTTGTTCTTCCTCGAAGAGTGGAAGGGAAATTTGAAAAGATTCTCCTGACTTATGGCAGTTGAAAGTGTATTTCACATTCAAACTTGTTCTTCCTCGAAGAGTGGAAGGGAATTTTGAAAAGATTCTCCTGACTTTTGGCAGTTGAAAGTGTATTTCACATTCAAACTTGTTCTTCCTCGAAGAGTGGAAGGGAAATTTGAAAAGATTCTCCTGACTTCTGGCAGTTGAAAGTGTATTTCACATTCAAACTTGTTCTTCCTCGAAGAGTGGAAGGGAAATTTGAAAAGATTCTCCGACTTCTGGCAGTTGAAAGTGTATTTCACATTAAAACTTGTTCTTCCTCGAAGAGTGGAAGGGAATTTTGAAAAAATTCTCCTGACCTCTGGCAGTTGAAAAGGTATTTCACATTCAAACTTGTTCTTCCTCGAAGAGCGGAAGGGAAATTTGAAAAGATTCTCCTGACTTCTGGCAGTTGAAAGTGTATTTCACATTCAAACTTGTTCTTCCTCGAAGAGTGGAAGGGAATTTTGAAAAGATTCTCCTGACTTCTGGCAGTTGAAAGTGTATTTCACATTCAAACTTGTTCTTCCTCGAAGAGTGGAAGGGAAATTTGAAAAAATTCTCCTGACTTCTGGCAGTTGAAAGTGTATTTCACATTCAAACTTGTTCTTCCTCGAAGAGTGGAAGGGAAATTTAAAAAGATTCTCCTGACTTCTGGCAGTTGAAAGTGTATTTCACAATCAAACTTGTTCTTCCTCGAAGAGTGGAAGGGAATTTTGAAAATATTCTCCTGACTTCTGGGAGTTGAAAGTGTATTTCACATTCAAACTTGTTGTTCCTCGAAGAGTGGAAGGGAAATTTGAAAAGATTCTCCTGACTTCTGGCAGTTGAAATTGTATTTCACATTCAAACTTGTTCTTCCTCGAAGAGTGGAAGGGAATTTTGAAAAGATTCTCCTGACTTCTGGCAGTTGAAAGTGTATTTCACATTCAAACTTGTTCTTCCTCGAAGAGTGGAAGGGACATTTGAAAAGATTCTCCTGACTTCTGGCAGTTGAAAGTGTATTTCACATTCAAACTTGTTCTTCCTCGAAGAGTGGAAGGGAAAGTTAAAAAGATTCTCCTTACTTCTGGCAGTTGAAAGTGTATTTCACATTCAAACTTGTTCTTCCTCGAAGAGTGGAAGGGAATTTTGAAAAGATTCTCCTGACTTCTGGCAGTTGAAAGTGTATTTCACATTCAAACTTGTTCTTGCTCGAAGAGTGGAAGGGAAATTTGAAAAGATTCTCCTGACTTCTGGCAGTTGAAAGTGTATTTCACATTCAAACTTGTTCTTCCTCGAAGAGTGGAAGGGAATTTTGAAAAGATTCTCCTGACTTCTGGCAGTTGAAAGTGTATTTCACATTCAAACTTGTTCTTCCTCGAAGAGTGGAAGGGACATTTGAAAAGATTCTCCTGACTTCTGGCAGTTGAAAGTGTATTTCACATTCAAACTTGTTCTTCCTCGAAGAGTGGAAGGGAAATTTAAAAAGATTCTCCTGACTTCTGGCAGTTGAAAGTGTATTTCACATTCAAACTTGTTCTTCCTCGAAGAGTGGAAGGGAATTTTGAAAAGATTCTCCTGACTTCTGGCAGTTGAAAGTGTATTTCACATTCAAACTTGTTCTTGCTCGAAGAGTGGAAGGGAAATTTGAAAAGATTCTCCTGACTTCTGGCAGTTGAAAATGTATTTCACATTCAAACTTGTTCTTCCTCGAAGAGTGGAAGGGAATTTTGACAAGATTCTCCTGACTTCTGGCAGTTGAAAGTGTATTTCACATTCAAACTTGTTCTTCCTCGAAGAGTGGAAGGGGAATTTGAAAAAATTCTCCTGACTTCTGGCAGTTGAAAATGTATTTCACATTCAAACTTGTTCTTCCTCGAAGAGTGGAAGGGAATTTTGAAAAGATTCTCCTGACTTCTGGCAGTTGAAAGTGTATTTCACATTCAAACTTGTTCTTCCTCGAACAGTGGAAGGGAAATTTGAAAAGATTCTCCTGACTTCTGGCAGTTGAAAATGTATTTCACATTCAAACTTGTTCTTCCTCGAAGAGTGGAAGGGAATTTTGACAAGATTCTCCTGACTTCTGGCAGTTGAAAGTGTATTTCACATTCAAACTTGTTCTTCCTCGAAGAGTGGAAGGGGAATTTGAAAAAATTCTCCTGACTTCTGGCAGTTGAAAGTGTATTTCACATTCAAACTTGTTCTTCCTCGAAGAGTGGAAGGGAAATTTGAAAAGATTCTCCTGACTTCTGGCAGTTGAAAGTGTATTTCACATTCAAACTTGTTCTTCCTCGAAGAGTGGAAGGGAAATTTGAAAAGATTCTCCTGACTTCTGGCAGTTGAAAGTGTATTTCACATTCAAACTTGTTCTTCCTCGAAGAGTGGAAGGGAAATTTGAAAAGATTCTCCTGACTTCTGGCAGTTGAAAGTGTATTTCACATTCAAACTTGTTCTTCCTCGAAGAGTGGAAGGGACATTTGAAAAGATTCTCCTGACTTCTGGCAGTTGAAAGTGTATTTCACATTCAAACTTGTTCTTCCTCGAAGAGTGGAAGGGAAATTTAAAAAGATTCTCCTGACTTCTGGCAGTTGAAAGTGTATTTCACATTCAAACTTGTTCTTCCTCGAAGAGTGGAAGGGAATTTTGAAAAGATTCTCCTGACTTCTGGCAGTTGAAAGTGTATTTCACATTCAAACTTGTTCTTCCTCGAACAGTGGAAGGGGAATTTGAAAAAATTCTCCTGACTTCTGGCAGTTGAAAGTGTATTTCACATTCAAACTTGTTCTTCTTCGAAGAGTGGAAGGGAAATTTGAAAAGATTCTCCTGACTTCTGGCAGTTGAAAGTGTATTTCACATTCAAACTTGTTCTTCCTCGAAGAGTGGAAGGGAAATTTGAAAAGATTCTCCTGACTTCTGGCAGTTGAAAGTGTATTTCACATTCAAACTTGTTCTTCCTCGAAGAGTGGAAGGGAAATTTGAAAAGATTCTCCTGACTTCTGGCAGTTGAAAGTGTATTTCACATTCAAACTTGTTCTTCCTCGAAGAGTGGAAGGGACATTTGAAAAGATTCTCCTGACTTCTGGCAGTTGAAAGTGTATTTCACATTCAAACTTGTTCTTCCTCGAAGAGTGGAAGGGAAATTTAAAAAGATTCTCCTGACTTCTGGCAGTTGAAAGTGTATTTCACATTCAAACTTGTTCTTCCTCGAAGAGTGGAAGGGAATTTTGAAAAGATTCTCCTGACTTCTGGCAGTTGAAAGTGTATTTCACATTCAAACTTGTTCTTCCTCGAACAGTGGAAGGGGAATTTGAAAAAATTCTCCTGACTTCTGGCAGTTGAAATTGTATTTCACATTCAAACTTGTTCTTCTTCGAAGAGTGGAAGGGAAATTTGAAAAGATTCTCCTGACTTCTGGCAGTTGAAAGTGTATTTCACATTCAAACTTGTTCTTCCTCGAAGAGTGGAAGGGAAATTTGAAAAGATTCTCCTGACTTCTGGCAGTTGAAAGTGTATTTCACATTCAAACTTGTTCTTCCTCGAAGAGTGGAAGGGAAATTTGAAAAGATTCTCCTGACTTCTGGCAGTTGAAAGTGTATTTCACATTCAAACTTGTTCTTCCTCGAAGAGTGGAAGGGACATTTGAAAAGATTCTCCTGACTTCTGGCAGTTGAAAGTGTATTTCACATTCAAACTTGTTCTTCCTCGAAGAGTGGAAGGGAAATTTAAAAAGATTCTCCTGACTTCTGGCAGTTGAAAGTGTATTTCACATTCAAACTTGTTCTTCCTCGAAGAGTGGAAGGGAATTTTGAAAAGATTCT